ACACAGTTACTTATGCCCGATTTGTAGCAGACCTCCCAAGTGTCCCTAATTATGAGGGACAGTCCCTATTATGGGTTCAAATCACTTTGTCCTCCTTTTCTATCCTAATGTCCCTCTTCTCTAGAATCTCCATATTGTTGAGGGGGAGAGCTGTAGAGACTAAACACTTTCTGTGTATTCTCAGTAATTCCTGGTCTGTTTTCAGTGGAATCATGAATGTTCTGTGCATTCTACCCAGCGGGGGATTATAGGATACGTAGTTTAGATATGTTGAATGCTTTCAGTGATAGTCTAATAGTACAGCATATCCGCCATTAAACATTTTGTGTGGCCCAGGGGAAACACACGTTTTCTGTAATTAATCATTTAGGGTTATTAACTAAAGTGAGAATTGGTCAATTTAAAGTAAATGTCTAATTTAAGGTTGAAATAGGCAAACTAAAAAGATTCTCTAAGTCTTTAAAAATGTATGCTTTCCATAAATTGGCCTAAAATTGAATATTCCTTTTGCATTTTCACTTAGTAAATAACATTGATAGAGAGGGGGTACGAGGTCATATCTCTGACCTAAACACTTTGCAAAACAGATTTGTGTTTCTCGTGCATGGACTGTCTCTTTAACCCTTCCAATGAATGCTTTCTGTTGATCCAGAAAACAGAAAAAAGAAGAAAAAAAATCAGCTCATTTATAGGTTTTTTTTTCCCAGCTAAGTTTAGTTTTTGTTAGTGTTTTCTTATAACATTAACTTAACTCACCTAAACAATTTAATTTGGCTGCAAACTGCACATCCTAATTGCCCCGACAGGCGTACACATGCCTTGACACCCTGGCCATCCTGCCATTCTTGTGCTGCAGAGCTGACACTCTGAATGGCCGCCACAGCTTCAGTAACTGGGCACAAGCCGTTATCTTCTGTTATGGTCTGTCCATAATGATATAATTATTATAATATTTTATATTTATCTTTTTGGACCTCTGGGACAGACATGCCCTCTTTGTTCTCCTGAGATTAGAGCTGCCAAAACGGGTCAACATTAAAATGCCATTTCATTTTGTATCCACAAGTTGCTGTTCTTGTCCATTTTATACCATACCTAAGGAAGCTCAGAGAGGCCATGTCTTTTCAATATGTTTCTGAGTTCTTGAGTAATTAAATAAACAACTTGTTTTCTCGCGATAACAAGTCAGAAAAATGCATGGCCTACTTTTTCTCTTTTTTTTTTTTACATTTTACACTTCCCATTAAACAAAATTAACCAATGTTTTACCACTTGGTTGGACGTGAAATATAACCCTTATTAAACACCGAGCTGTATTGATCCAAAAACCAAATTGCAAAATTACAGCAAAAACAGCTAATCTGCAGAAATTCTCCCGTCCTGCGATAATCAATTATTTTAGCTCATACTTCACCAATCAAATTTCCTATTTTACAACATTAGGCAATAATTTCATTGAGCATCAGATTACTAAACACAGGCTGTCCGGCACTTAACATGCTCGCTAGCAATTGATCATTTTTATGTAAATGTCTTTTTCTTGAGATAAGCAATCTTGCAAAACACTAAAAATCTAAAAAAATAACATAAAATAAATACTTTCTCATGACTGCTGACTAGTCCTTTCTTGTCAGGTTTATTTTTGGGATGATTAAAATCCCCTATAGCAAACAGGAGATATCAGCCGATCCAGGAGATATCAGCCGATCCTGTCTAGCACTCAGTGCTGATTGGGAGCTGGGCCACACACCCCCAGACTGTGTGAAACTGACACTGAGAAAATGTGAGCACTTTCCCCATTTCTTTAGAATAACATTGGCTTTTATGCTGGAAAAGTTTGAGTACATAAAATGAATCCCTTGGAGAGCTTTTCATGGCAGTTTCTTAATTGAAACAAAATTTACTCTGAAATTAAATTTAGGCCAGAGGTCTGTTTGGAAAATACAGAGTAACATTAACACACAACGTGCAGAATTTGTAGGGAAGATTCGGGGAAAATACCTTGGGAATTAACAGTATACAGGGTGCACAATCAATCCCTGCGTGACGCATTTATTACATAATATTGCAGTCGGCCTGAGTACGTAGCCAAGTGACCGATGTGACTAAAGTACATTTTATCCAAGATTGCATGTTGTATAGAATGAGTAATTAAACTTTACGTTATTAAAGGAACATGTGTCTATGTGTCTGGAGTTTGTTATATTTGAGAAAGTTTATAAAAGTGCCAGTTTCAATAGAAATCGTTACTTTTATCACTTGGTGAAGAAACATTTGTGTGTCTGTCATATTTGTGACAGCTTCATACCCCCCCAACTTCGGTGTCCTGTGAAGTGTCTTTGGCTCCACCAAAAGGGACAGATGGATCCACCTGGAAAGAATGCATACGACTCATAAAGAGTTTATTAAGAGTTTTACACATAAGAATACAATTATAAATTAGCTCCAGTTTTGGTTTTGTGTCTTGCAATAACTATGTTCAATGGCAGAAAAGGGCAACATAAGAATGACTGGACGACATCTGTCCAGCCTTTGTTAGTATAACGAGAATGGTTTGTGCAACATTGATGTAACCTGGCAGCCAGCCAGTGGACTGCAATGTGCATGCGTGAACAATGATGACTTCACTGTACTAGTCAGTGGGGGCGCTAGAGGCTGTTTAGTGAGCATGTGACTGTGCGAGTAGAGCAACGAATCTGCATCCAATGTGCGTTAAGCTTGAACATTCCTCTGCAAAAACCAATCGGATGATTCAGAAGGCTTTCATGGACGATGCAATGAGTGCAGTGCAAATTAAAGTGTTGAACAAACACACAAAAGATGGTTGAGAATCTTGAAAGATTTGGCTTTTCCAAAACTAAAATCACCTTTGAAAGGAAAGAGATTTCAGACAGTCAATGAGATTCAGGTAAATACAATGAGGCAGCTGATGGAGATTCCAACAAAGGATTTTGCAGAGTGTTTTGAATAGTGGAAGAGACACTGGGAGAACTGTTTGAGGTCCCAAGGTGCCTACTTGGAAGGGGACTGGGGCGTCATTGTCCTGTATACAATATATCTAGTATCTTCTTCAATAAATATCTCTATTTTTCATATTTTGGTTGCCTGACTCTCTGCATGAAGACATCCAGCGTCAGTTAAATCCCCATAAGATAGCATTGCAGAAATTGGGGAGGTGGAGCACCGACACAGTTCCAGGGAGATCAGCGCTGGAATCGGGTGAGTAAATAATATGTTTTTTATTATATTTTATAAATATTTTTATATGAATATGATCATTCCCTTTAGGCTTTATGCAATAAACACTGTTTGTTTCAGAGAAAACTCAGTGTTTACATTATAGCCTAGCGATAACTCCACTGGCCACTCTGCAGATGGCTGCTTCCTGGGGCAGTGCTGCACCGTGTGACTGACATTCAGTGTCTCCAACCTTTGCTTGGACACAATGAACTTTCCTCATAGAGATGCATTGATTCAATGATGAGGAGACGTTGATTGGTCAGGGCAGTGTTTGGCTTGTACTGGTCCTGCCTCCTTGGCAATCTCAGCCAATCCTATTTGAAAGCATTATGATTGGCTCAGAACAATACCTCTGATGTTGTCAGCCAAGCAGGCAGATCACGGGCAAAGCCAGCTGCAGCAGACTGGAATACAATTAAGATTCACTATACTTAGGGGGGAGGGTGGTTAGATGGTGGTTTTACCACTATAGGGTCAGGAATTTATGTTTGTGTTCCTGACCCTATAGCGTTATTTTAAAGGAACACTTCACACCTATAACTCACTTTTGCAGTGACATGTCAAAATTAGGGTCTGTGGCAGAACCACTGCCTGTTCGTGGATTTCCCCTCTCTTTCAAATGTATTTTCCATGTGTTATTCATTTGTTATGCCCACTCCCCGTTGAAGGGGTTTCATTCACCTCCCAAACGAGGACCACCACAATACCTAATTTAGAATGTTAGTATAGAATACTAACACCTCCCAATCACCTCGCAACATAAGTGTCAAAACCGCAAACCACAATTAATGAGTGCTTCCCTGGGTGGCCGCCATTCGTACAGGCGAACGCCACAAGGGGGAGCATTCGTGGATTGTTTCCCGACTCGTTCGTGTCCCGAACGAGGGCATGCCCAGTTTCACACCCGCAAAATAGGTGTGAAACTGCAAGGGAAGTAATTAATGAGTGCTCCCCTGGGAGTCCACCATTCGTACAGACGAACGCCATCCAGGGGGAGCATTCGTACCCCGAAAGGAGACGCTGGGTTTCACACCAGAACCTTGCGAACAGAGACTAGTCGATCAAGGGATCGAGGTGAGGATCCCTAAGATTAGTGTGGGCACTTCTGGGGCACTGGCGAGTTTTGGCAGGCTCTCATGAGCCTGGGGGACAAAGGGACTAGCTATTTTCCCCTAGGTGGGCTTTTCTATGCCTGGGAGACAAAGGGACGGCGCCTTTCCAGCGCCTAGATCTCCAGGCGAAGAGGTTCTTGGGAAGAAGATGCCTGGCGATTGGTGTGGGGAACCCCCGTCGATTTAGTGGCGGGCCTTGGGGACAACTCGGGGAGGAGGAGGATTGTGGGATGTGTCTTTGTATGTGTGTGTGATCCACCCCTTGCACAGAGTATGCATAAAAGCCGTGTGTGGCCAATAAAATTGTGTTGTACCTCCAGGACTGTGTGTTGTCCGGTTACTGGGGGCAAATGGGTCCCTTTACACTCTGAGTGGTTCCTGAGTGCCTGAAGGCAAGGAATTAGTGGAGGTAAGCGGTCGTGTTACCCATGGGCCGCTACAGGGTCTATCCCTGATATTTGCAATAATGGGGCACGTTCAGAGAATAATCCCAACAGTAGTGTGTCATTAAACTATGAATATCTGAATCCTTAGCCATTTAAATTGTTGAGAGACTATATTTCTCCCAAAATCAAGTTCCAAGTACTCTATACCTCACAAGTAAATGCGCCTGAAAGGAAATCTGATAATCAGTAGGTATAGGTTCATTTTTTTTTTTTTTTTAATTCTTTATTTTTCAGTGCAGTGTTAAATATACATTTCAGCATTATCACAAAACTTTAGAGACAGGGTAACAATGTGTCTTTTAACGTCATTGTGGTATACTGCACTTTTTTTTTGTTTTTAATACACGAGTTATAGCATATTATAGCATATATATTACAAACAGGCGTATCAGGAAACATGCTAGACAAAATAATCATGTCCAGTCCTAGCTGGAATTGCGTGTCTAACTGTATGTACTTGCTAGACATGTGAGTGATAATTGAAGGTAAAGATTGAAATGTGTTTGTAGTTTAGTGTTTGTAGTTTAGCTTAAGTTAATAGCTAGATGAGTAGCGTGCTGGTTTTCTGTTAGCGTAGACAACAATAGATTGTGTAACATATGGAGCTGTGCTGGGGTTTAAAGATGTTGTATGCATATAGGTGTGTAATAATGCTATACAGGCTAAACATGCTATCTGTGTGCATATTCTTTCAGGCATGACGATGGTTAGATAGGTATGTGAAACAGAAGAACTACTACTTCTCGTTTTGTACGTCATAGGAGCCATTAAAATAACCCAAGAATGAAACTGCAAAAAACACACACACAAAAAAAAAAAGAATGAACATGTCCCTCTTACGAGGTCTTCGAGGTCAAGAGAAGGATGGTGCCAGTGTCCTGGTGCCGAGATGTTGTAGGTTGTAAATTGCTCTCCATTCAGCCCACACCAGTCAGAAACAGTCCCGGTAACCATTTATAGTGTGTAAAAGGGGGCTTCTGCCCCGGTCTCCCCCATCCGCTTGTCGGAGCTCCGAGTCTCTTTGACATTCTGTGTGGGTTTGGGAGAGGGCTCTTCGTAGCTTTTGTGCTTGGCGTTGGTGGAGGCTTGAGTGAGAGCTTGGGTGAGAGCGGCTTCGGTCCATGTGGGAGTTTCGTGGTGATCCGGGGTATGCATTGTGCGGGTGTCGGTGTATTATTCTACCCCATTGGCCCCAGGCCTCTGCGAGGGCACCTGTGTAGTTCCCAGCTCTTCGGTCCCTCTTAGTTCCACGAGCGGTGTCCCAGCTGGCAGTATGCTTGGTTTGAGGGCAAGGTTGTTCCCGCCGGTGGCGTGTAGCTTGTATCCAGTGTGTCCTCCGTTTAGTTTTCTGTTTAGGCGAGTAGGTACTGCGTTTCACAGGACGTGGACGGGCTGTGGTTTGGCGGGCTTTCCTCCCAGGGTTTGCTGAGCAGGCTGTGGACAGCATAGCTGTGCAGAGCTGGAGCCTCTGTGCTCCATCTTCTCTGCTTTTCTCTGCGGTCAGAGCTTGTCTGTGTTCGAGCTTCAGCCAGAAGGCACGAAAGAGCTCATCTAGCCGTTTTTCAAGAGGTTCCTGTGGGCCTCCAGTAGGTTTTATTGGTACTATGTTCGCCAACTTCGCTTGTGTGCTTGCCGTGTGCCTCTTGCCGCCAGCTGCCATCTTGGACTCGCCATGCGAGGAGCTGTCTCTGTGAGGTATTGGTACAGGCTTGGTAGGCTGTGTCAGTTGGCAGCCCTGGTGTCTAGTGTGGACCGGGATGACCCCCGCCGGTCCTGGTGGGGGGGGGAGGGAGGCGGGTGCGCCGAGGGTTCTATGCGCGGCTGTGTCTTCGAGGAGAGCGGCCGCCTCTCCCCGGCTCAGTCGCTGGTAGGCCTCAGGTGCTTTTTGTGGGTTTCCGGGCTGTGGGGTACTCGAGTTTGGTATCATTTTGTGCTCCTGGGTGTCCCCACTCTGTCTCATACCCTCCAGCTGGTGGACGCACCGATTTTCGGGGTATTTACCCTTGTTTTTGTTGCGTTCAGGCAGGAGCTGGTGTTCAACGCGTCCTTCCAGCTCGGCGGTTAGGCTCCGCCCCCGGTATAGGTTCATTTTAAGGCTATTGAGATGTACTGTGATCAGCTGAATTATGCAGGAACTATTGAAGCTTTTCAGAATTTGCTGTTTAATTCCTACAGACAAAGATTATCAATATCTACCAAAAGAACTCAGTGCTGCAGGGTAAATGTGCAACTCCATCAACATTGTTTACACAAAACAACAAATATTGTAAAAAATAAACCAGGAAAAATACATTCTGATGAATAACTACTACATTTTTGCATTCAGTACTAGCAGCAATTTTATATTTAAAAAGTGAATTGTGGTATCACATTACAATATATAATTAAATTTGATACATAAAAACGTTCTTTTAAAGTGTTTCTGTGTCTTATGATGGATAAGTGGTTCTGTCTCTTCTGATGGATTCTATATGAAGAATTCAGGAAGACTGAGCTGAGATTTAACTGAAATATCAATGCACTCAGAAGATATGGAATGGACTAATTTGTCTTATGGACAAGATCCTTGCTGGCTGTTCCATCATATTCCATTTCTCTTTAGCCGTCTTCTCACGCCATGTTCATTAGACTACTGTGAGAGCGCATTAAACATGAACAAGATCATCTATAGAAGGTCTTGCAGGATCTTCCATAGATCACATTTTATGCACTTGCTCTAGAGCAGAGACACCTTTATAATTCCAGAACACCTTGAGAACTGTAGTTCTACAACAGCACCCCTGCTCTAGAGAACAAGAATGGTTCCTGGTAGATTGGTTCCACAAGCCAAAAATCAAGATGAAGAAAAAGATGCAGAGGAGAAAGAGATTCTTGTAAGAATATCTACCTTTTTTCCCCCAGGTTCCCACCATGAAAGTGAAATCATCACCATGACATAGCAGGTTCGTTGTAAAAAAAAGAAATGACCACAAACATGGCAGTGCAGCTTTCATATGCTATTTCACAAATGTTATTCAAAGATTTCCCTCCCCATGCTTTGCCACCCCAAAGCCGTAGAGAGACAGTCAATTTGTCTGCACACTCTGCAGGTGCAGAACACGTTTTCAGCTCCTTGTACTGTATCTCTGACACTCTCCCTGGCACCGACCAGAAGGAGACAATGTGCATCGTCCACATGACCACCAGGGATCCCTCCATGGCCCAAAGGAAGCCGGGGAATGGGGAGGGGGAAAACTTTTTTTTGTTGTTCCTTTAATTTGCCTGTCAGCTCTTATCCCCCCTCCCATAACCCTCTTCTTATCCGTGACTCTAGTCTTTATCCAAGACCTTTATCCTTATTATTGACGCTAGTCCTTATATTTGATTCTAGTCTTTATCCCTGACCCAAACAATCTCCTTCACCCTAGTCCTTATCCGTGATTCTAGTTCTTATCCATAATACTAGTCCTTACCCTTGACTCTAGTCCTTATCTCTGACCCTAGCCTTTATCTGTGACTCTCGTCCTTATCCCTGACCTTATTCCTTATCTGTGACTCTGGTCCTTATCCCTGACCTTATTCCTTATCTGTGATTTTCGGCCTTACCTGTGACTCTTGTCATTATCCCTGAGTCCTTATCTGTGACTCTGGTCCTTATCCCTGACCTTATTCCTTATCTGTGATTTATGTCCGTACCTGTGACTCTTGTCATTATCCCTGACCATAGTCCTTATATGTGACTCTTGTCCTTATCCCTGACTTTAGTCCTTATCCATAACTCTCGTCTTTATTCTTGCCTCTAGTTCTTATCTGTGACTCTAGTCCTTATCCCTGATCCTAATCATTACAAATGAGTCTAAGCCCTTATCCCTGACCCTTGTTCTTATCCCTGACCCTAGTCATTCATTACTCTAGTCGTTGTCCCTGACCCTAGTCTTTGTCTGTGACCCTAGTACGATGGAACCACAAACTTCCAGAGTAACATCGATTCATCTATTGATTGAACGTTCCTAGTCACCAATATGTTTGCATATGTTTTGTGTAGTGTAACAAGATATAACATTTTGGTATATGTTCCCCAGATCCCTCTTTCATCAGTCATATTTCACGATTGTATTGTTGCCTCATATATTTACTGTGTGATTATGTTTTATGTAGATTGTGTCACCACCACAAGGTAAGTGTAAAGCTCCTTGTAGCAGAACAAGTCTGGATCGTAGTCCACCCTGTTCCCATTACATCTAGTTTTTATCCCTGACCCTATTCTGAAACTGTGGAGGCATGGGGTCATCTGTTTATAGCAAGGGAGATTTTAAGGGTTAATTCCCGTGCCCAGATAAGAAGTATCCCTCCTATCATTCCTCTGCAGCCACCACCAGCTGTCCTACTTCTCACATTCTTTTTGTTTCATACATGACTCTCTTTCCGTCATGCTCACACACGTCACAGATACAGGGGGCACGCTGAAAGACGTGATCAAAGCGTGCAACCTATTACCAGTCACCCTATCACTGAACCCCAGTCCTACTAATAGCTGGCTTACCAATAATCCCTTTGTTCCACTGTGTTTATATTTGAATTCCACCAATGAATGGCACGCTAGGATTGGCTATAAATAAAAAGATAATAATTTGTTTATTTTATAATTAGTATCTTCTGTCCAGTTAATCATCTATCAAGTACTGAAAAACTCTAAGAGAAAATAAACTATTACAATAAGGTAACTTGATATTATGTGAATTATCCATTTTCAAATGAATAATTTATCATCTTTCATAGATTAACAATGGATGCATTGTAGATATCTTGTCCACTTATATACATATATATTATTATTATTTTATTATTTATATAGCGCCATCAGATTCCGTAGCGCTGTAAATATCTAAATGGAGCTTCATCTTCTGGTTCATAATAAATGAGAGCATTGCAGATCCATGATGAAGGAAAAAATTAGTTTTTCCCAAAAAATAAAATTAAAATATAATTTGTCTCATTTGTACATGAACTTATCGTATGTGTATGCATTCTTAGAGTATTTTGCATATTATTCTGACACGTTTTAATGGAGCCGGAAGGTTTTTTTATCCATGTAGGTGATAGTTTGTGAAATATCACAGTTCTTATCTTGTTTTTGCACTCTACTGAACATTACAGCCTCTGCAGTGTACGACAAACTGTATTTTAGGAGGTAAGAAGTATCTAAGAATTATTCACTAAACACTGACTTTGGAAAGCGACCAATCAACAATTAGATATTTCTGAAATGGCTGTTTTCCGATCCATTTTTCAAGCAGTGTAAAAAGTATCACAGCTTGGTACTATGTCTACGTTGCTTCTGATACTGTGAAACAAACCCAATAACAGAAGTGACATTATTTGTTAACTAGTGAATTGCGGTGATTAGACCATAGTGACATTGGTTAGGGAGGACAGGAAGAACAAGCACTGTTTGACGCTGTAAGAATGAAAAGTCATACAAGAAACATTGTGGCCACAATCCGTTGTCATACAGCGTGAGGTGCAGGTGATAAAAAGTCACACTACCACAGTGTTTGATAGGGCATTATCATGCTGAAACAGGAAAACGGCCTCCCAAGACCGTTGCTATAAAATAGAGAACGTCGGAGGAGGACAGTGCAGTCTTAGTAGACAAATCGAAAAATCCCTCCAATGCAGCCAGTCAGCATACGCAGTGTTCACTACCTACAGCACATGTATACCATGCAAAACCAAAACGAAAAAGGCTAAAGGTGCTATCCAAAATAGTAGCAACAGGAACACAAAGCGTTTCAGGCCTTTTCTCACTGTTTAATATCTCCTTTATTCATTGTGTTTAGAACATGGGTGTGTTATTGATGTTCCTATAATACATTTTGAGAAGCACTGACTAGTGCATCAAGATTGAAGAATAAAATTGCCCAGAGTATTACCATTTTATGCTGCTCCGGAATCCAATGGCTTTACGCCTCTCCAGCTTGGCTTTGTACACCATGTTCTGGAGATGCTGACTGCTTATCCATAGTGACCTCTTCCCTGACAAATCTAAAGAACTGTTCTTTTGTTGCCAATGTAGACTGTGCTCCCAGAGGTAGTTTGGAGATGTGGAGAGGGACAGACAGACGCAGGGCCGGCTTTAGGCCTTTAGGCGCCCTGTGCGAAAAATCTTCACAGTGCCCCTTTCCCCCCGTCATCCATGTATGATGTAATGTTTGTGTTGTCTGTGTATGTGATAGTAGGTGTGATGACTGTGTGTGATATGTATGCTGTGTGCTGGCTGTGTGTGATATTTGTAATGTGTGTATTAACAGTGTGTGATATGCATGCATTGGTTGTATGTGATATTTGTGCTGGGTTTATTGGCTGTGTGTGATGGTTATTTAATTCAGATAAAAACCTGCCTTTAAGCCTGTGTGAATGCAGGTGTATATTTTTGCAGAGGTATGTGCACACAGTCAGATGCACACAGTTATACATATACACTGTCAAATCCACCACATGCACACAGTCGCAGGCAGATAGTCACATACACAGGTACAGGCAGAAACACACAGGTACAGGCAGTAACACACATACACAGTTACAGGTAGATAAACACACTCACACACAATTACAGGCAGACAGCCACACACACACACAGGCAGCCATACATACAGTTTTACACACACACACACACACTTACATGCAGACAGTCACACCGACAGCCAAACACTTACACACAGGTAGACAGCCACACACACACACAGAGTCAGATGGCCATACACACACAGGAAGACATCCACACACACAGAGGCAGGCAGTCACAAACACAGGCAGTCATGCACACACACAGACACACGCGCACACAGGCAGACAGTCACGCGCACGCACACACAGACACACACACAGGCAGACAGTCATATACACACACAGGCAGACAGTCATACACACACAGGCAGACAGTCACACACACAGGCAGACAGTCATACACACAGACACACACACACAGGCAGACAGTCATACAGACAGATATTGATACTAATAATTAAATAAATATACATTTAATTCTGAGTTTGGTAGGTTCTGTTTTATATTTGTTAATGTTGGGAATAATGGTA